TGCCCGCTGTTCCCGGTGCCGGGAGCCGCAAATCCCGGGATTCCCGCCATCTCCAAGAACGGGATCCCCAAATTCCGGGAGCCCCAAACTCCGAGAGCCCCGACATCCCCAACACCGGGATCCCGGCGGGGTCCCGGCCCCGGGAATCCCGGGATTCCAACGATCCCGGGACGCTGCGGTCCCCAGGAGCCGCAAATTCCCGGGAACGCCGGGCGGGAGCACCTGGATCCTCCAGTCCCGGCTCCCCCAGGAGCTCCGATCCCGGGATGGAGCCCCAAATCCCGGCATGGAACCCAAATTCCCCGCATCCCGAGAATCCCGGGAGCGCCGGGACTCCCAAACGCCGGGAGCGGCGTCCCGCGGTCCCCGGGATCGCCGAATCCCGGGAAATGAAGGATCCTCGTGACCCCCATTCCCGGACGTTCCCGGGAACGCCGGGAGCCCCAAAATCCCCCAGCCCCGGCATTCCCGGGATCGCGCAGCTCCCGGATTCCCGGGAAAAGCAGGAACCGCGTCCCCGACATCCCCGGTTTCCTCGGGATCCTCCATCCCCCCAGTCCTGAATCCCCGGGAGTCCCGGGACACCCCCATATCCCGGGATTCCCGTGGCTCCCAAATCCCGGGATTCCCGTGGCCCCAAAATCCCGGGACTCGCTCTCAATCTCCCCTCCCGAGACCCGCGGGCTCCCCCAAATCCCGGGATTCCCGTGGCCCCAGAATCCCGGGATTGCCCCAAATCTCCCCTCCCGAGACCCGCGGGCTCCCCCCGCGCCCCGGGCCGCCCCCCACGCGTGTCCGTGTCCCGCAGGGGCTCCGTGGCGGGCGCTGCTGGCGCTGCTGGGGCTGTGGCCGGGGCTGTGGCCGGGCCCGGGGCTGGCGCTCGCCCCCCGCCCGCGCCCCCCGCCCACGGACACGCGTGGGGACCTGGACAGCGTCATCAACCTGGCCAAGGCGCTGCTCGGCGACACCAAAGCCTTCCTGGAGCTCCTGGTGGGTACCCGCGACCCCCGCGACCCCCGCCCCCCCGCGCGGCGCGGCGCGGGCTGACCCCTCCCTTCCCAAACTCCTGTCGCGACAGAAGTCGCGATTCCCGGCCGAGGGGGAGCACAAGCTGGACTCGCTGCCCGTGCTGGCCATGAGCGCGCTGGAGCTGCCCAACATCCAGGTGGGGGCACGGGGGTC